CGCTTCACCCTCACCAGCCGCCTCCTCCAAGAACGCTCCCTCAACCGCCCTCTCTTCCCCAAACCCATCGGCCAACTCCACGGCCACCTCGGCCTGGCCCGTCTCCTCCTCTTCCAAACCCGCGCCGCTTTCAACCTCCTCGACCCCTCCCACGGCACCGGACTCGCCAACGCCGGCCTCGTCTTCTTCAACGGCCGCCTCCTCGCCATGTCCGAAGACGACCTCCCTTACCACCTCCAAATCACCCCATCCGGCGACCTCCGCACAGTCGGCCGCTTTGACTTCTCCGGCCAGCTAAAAAACTCCATGATCGCACACCCCAAAATCGACCCCGTCTCCAAAACCCTCTTCTCCCTCAGTTACGACGTCCTCCGACAACCCTACCTCAAATTCTACCAATTCTCCCCACACGGCCGCAAAATCTCCGACGTCGACATCCCCCTCGACCAACCCACCATGATCCACGACTTCGCCATAACCGAGAGCCACGTCATCATCCCCGACCAACAGGCAATTGCAATTTTATTTACTATTAGTATTACAAATTTTAATTTATCTCCCTTTAAATTTATTTTTCCACCCTCAGATTTTTTTTGTTTTTAAACGTCACTCACTAGGCCAACTTGTCCGTAATTGTCAATTAACAATTCAACACTTATTTTATTTTACTATTAATTTTGTACATTAATTATTATCATTCTACAATTTTATTTAGCACATTTTTTACTCAAAACCGAAAATCGAAACCGAACCGATTTATGTGCAACGGTAACCGAAAATTTTGCCCCCTCTCAACTAATTTTCTGGTTTCGCCCCTGTCAACAGGTTGTTTTTAAACTCGTCGAGATGCTTAAAGGCGGGTCCCCGATGGTGTACGACGCGAAGAAAAGCTCACGATTCGGAGTCCTCCCAAAAACCGCTAAAAGTTGCGACGAAATCAAATGGATAGACTGCGGCGACACCTTCTGCTTCCACTTATGGAACGCGTGGGAAGAGGCGGAAACCGACGAAATCGTCGTGATTGGGTCATGCATGACGCCGCCCGACTCGATATTCAACGAGCACGACGAGAAACTAAAAACCGTGCTCTCCGAAATCCGGCTCGACCTAAAAACCGGCAAGTCCAAGAAACGAGCCATACTCTCGGAGGAAATCAATTTGGAGGCCGGGATGGTGAACCGGAATTTGCTAGGGCGTAAGACCCGGTTCGCCTACCTGGCGATCGTGGACCCGTGGCCCAAAGTCTCGGGTTTCGCTAAAGTCGATCTTTTTAGCGGGAAAATCGAGAAGCATTTGTACGGAGGGGAGAGGTACGGAGGGGAGCCGTTTTTCTTGCCGGCAGAGTCGGGAAAAGAGGAGGACGAGGGTTACGTGCTAGCGTTTGTGCACGACGAGGAGGAAAACCGGTCCATGCTGCAGATAGTGAATGGCGCCACGCTGGCGGTGGAGGCTGTTGTGGAGCTGCCTTCGAGGGTGCCGTACGGGTTTCACGGGACGTTTGTCAGCGCCGACGAGTTGAAGTCTCAAGTTTAGTTGATTGGTTTGAGAAAATTTTTAATTATAAGTGTAAATTATAAATAATTATATATTAGGTGGTGTATGTGTGTGTAAGATGGAGGGGAGGAGTTGCCGGTGCCGGAGGGCGAGTGAGGATTACAGCCATAGTTGCTGGGATTTACGTCCGGCCGCCGGAATACTTGTATCTTTGTGTTTTACTTTTTTTATATATATATATATAAATAAATTTTTTTGAGCTCAGCTGTTTTCTGTTTTGT